GCTCAAATCTTCTCTGCATCATTCATATCTCAGTTCAAATGCTGTCTCCTCAAAGAGGCCTTTGTTAACCACACAATGTAAAATAACCCCCACACACAATTTAAAATAATCTTCAGTGAATTTAAAGCACATAACTTTATTTTCATAGCTCACATCCCTACATTGTGAATTTATTTGTTTGCTTATTTATATCTGTCTGCAATCTTCCTCCTCTCCCTGCCTTTAAGAATATAAGCACCATGAAATTAAGGACATTACCATATCCGTTATGCACTATAATTTACTAAAGTACTACACCTGACCATAAAAAACCCTCAATAAATATTTGTTGAATGAATAAATTAGTTTTATAGTCTACTTGATCTATTGTAATTTGTGACCACAACCTCTCTCTTTCAAGATTTTAATGTCCTCGAGGACAGGAAAAATATTGGGTGTATCCGTAGAGGAGATACTCTATCTGAGTATATAAAAGAAACATCTGCTGACATGGCCATTCTACCCTGTCTTAGTTTGCTGAACTCAATAACTTTTAAAAATTAGCATCTTCTCAAGCCCTATCAAGCATCAGTAAGTTGCTTCTACCCAGACTTTTATAGCCTCTCATTTAGGGTTGGATCCAATTGTTACAGTTCTTTACCCAAGTCCCCTGACAAGCAGCCATAATAATAGCTTGGGATAACTTTTTGACACACAAAATGAATTAAAAATTGATCTATTAGCCTTACTTGAGTCCCATCTGCACCAATCTTGTCCAGCGCTCCAACAGTGCTAGACAGAAAGTTAATGATCTTATTGAAATTTTCATCTCCAATGCTCCAGGATCCATCCACCATAAACACTAGGTCTGCCTTGGCAGCTTTACATACTAAAGACAAAGAATGAATTTTGAATCAGAGACAAGGGGAAAACAGCAGTTATTAAACCAACAAAGCAGATGATGATTTCCCTCCAGTAACTAGAGCTCTTTCCCAAAGGAAAGGTATAAATCATATTCCAAGCTCTTGTTCACTATGCTTCCTGACCATCATTTCTCTGCTATGCTCAAGGTTCCTATTCGTGACTCAGAAGCTTCTATTGAACATGTGGAACAGAGAAAAAAAAAATCCACCAGGGCCGGCCCCGTGGCTTAGCGGTTAAGTGCGCGCGCTCCGCTGCTGGCGGCCCGGG